GTGTGTGTGTGTGTGTGAGTGTGAGTGTGAGTGTGTGAGTGAGTGAGTGAGTGTGAGTGTGTGTGTTAGTGTGTGTGTGTGTGTTTGATTTAGTGTTTGTGTTAGTGCAGGTGAACACCTGCTGCTGCATCACTCTACAAAACAACAGCAAACAGCTCGAGCTCTCTGTCAGATCTTCCATCACACACACACATTACAATGACTGTCATTAACTAAATAAATATTAATACATCATATTACGCTTAACCAATCAATAGTTTAAAAATGTAATCTTGTGGAAAAAAAGTACCTAGTATATTTATTATATTTATTTGTGTCTATTGAATAATTAATCATGTAATATAAAATATTTTAATATAAAAGAGACAAAACTGTATCTAGAATTATATCTAAAACTTATAATAACTTTCAGTGATATTATATTATTATGTAGAACCATCATTTTATTAAGAAAAATGTATGCTGTATATCTATCTATTCATGTTTATATTAAATACTTAACTTAATATATAGTATAAAATAATATTTTAATATATTGTTTCCTAACATTATTAAATCAAAAATTTGCATGATAATAATTTTCATTGATATAAACATTATTACATCATATCATGATATGATGATCATATGAGCTTGTGCATCACATTGATTTAATTTTTTATGCTAAAAGTACATAGTATATGTATTAAATGTATTAATGTTTATATTAAATGTTTAATGCCAATCAAAATAATATTTTAATTTACAAATGAAGGTCATGTTATTTTTGTTAAATTATTTTAATTTAATATTTTATATTAATTATTTAATAATTTTATATAAAGTATACATCATGTTTTTTTTATATAAAGTATACATCATCTTATACCTATAAGTATTATATATAAAATTTTAATGTATTAACTAAGTATATCTTAAAATATTATATATACAATTTATAATATATACATTTTATCCAAAAAATACAATTCTAAATTATAGATGGAATTTTGCATGATATTCTTTAATTTTGAAAGAAATTATTTCTTGTGTTTTTATTATTTTCATGTATTTATTTAGCAGACACCTTTGTCCACAGAAGCTCAAATGTATGAATGTTTCTGTTTGCAGGTGAAGAATGACTACATGCTGGAGATTGCGGATCAGGTGGAGCAGGAGATGGCGCTGAAGCTGGGGTGTCTTGAGATCAGGTGCGTTCATCGTTCATTGTCCCGTCAGACTGTGAGACGATCGTGCTGATTTCTGCTGTTCTCTTTTCCAGGAGATTCTACAGAGAGATGAGAGGAAACGCTCTGGATAAAAAATCCAACTATGAACTGCTAGAGTAAGTATTCATATGCGTTCCCTTTCAGTCGGTCACTCTCGACGTCACGTCGGATGACCGACGAAATTGGGATCTCGCTTAGAGAGACCAATCTACTTCGAGTGTAAACTAAACGAGCCAATGCACATTGGCATGCGATTATTGCATCCAGCTGTACAATCGAAGTAGATTGGTCTCTCTAAGCGAGATCCCAATTTCGTCGGTCATCCGACGTGACGTCTCCGTTCCCTTCTTCAGGGAACAAGGGTTACCATACGTAACCGAGACGTTTCATATTGACAGATAATGCTGAACATTATATCTAATGGAGTTTATTTGTCAAAATGGCACAGTTAGATCTCAGAATGCCAGGATTTTGACTGACAGATCACTGCTAATAAAGCGGAGCTTCTCCTGAACATCATGTCCTCAGCGCACACACACACACACACACACACACACACACACAGAGTCACATGTGTGCATTAGTTCTGGGTCATCTCGTCAGTCGCCCGCAGTCACACAGCAGCGCTCGGGCCCCTCAGGGGGCGGGACAGGGCAGAGGGAGAACACCAATCACAGAGCCACTCTGATTTGAGTGACAGCTGCAGGGAAGGACATCATCACCTGCTTCACAGCTGAACTGCTGTCATTTTACTAACAGTCATATACTATAATAGATTTTATTCATATTTTGAATAAGGTGTTATTTTTATATTTTCTGTTTTCTTTTAATTGTAGTTAAAGTTTTTGTGATTTTCTTGTTTTTTCTTCATTTTTATTGATTTATGGATTATATTTTTTGTTACATATTTTTATTTCATTTTTTTTTTTTTTTTTTTACCGATAATAACCCTGCTCTAAACAACATATGTGACCCCGGAGCACAAAACCAGTTTTAAGTCGCTGGGGTATATTTGTAGCAATAGCCAAAAATACATTGTATGGGTCAAAATTATAGATTTTTCTTTTATGCCAAAAATCATTAGGATATTAAGTAAAGATCATGTTCTATGAAGATATTTTGTACATTTCCTACCGTAAATATATCAAAACTTCATTTTTGATTAGTAATATGCATTGCTAAGAACTTCATTTGGACAACTTTAAAGATGATTTTCTCAATATTTAGATTTTTTTGCACCCTCAGATTCCAGATTTTCAAATAGTTGTATCTCAGCTAAATATTGTCCTATCCTAACAAACCATACATCACTGGAAAGCTTATTTATTCAGCTCTCAGCTGATGTATAAATCTCAATTTTTAAAAATGTACCCTTATGACTGGTTTTGTGGTCCAGGGTCACATATTAGGGCAGAAACTGTTGGATGTATATAACATAATTCCCATATATTTAATGTTTAATATTGATTTATAAAATATAGAAATATATATCTTAAAATAATATATCTTTAATATTAGATATTAAGTGATCTTATATAATTTTTGTATTATAAACATTACTGCATCATATTATGCTTAACTGCCCAATAGTTAATAATATAATGTTAAGAGTAAAAAAGTACATAGTATATTTAATGTACTGTATTCAGTTCTTTTAATGTCTATATAGTTTGATTTTTAGTAATTTTAGTCATTTATTTTTAAATAAAATAAAGCTTTATTTATATATTTTATTTAACTTAAACTATATTTTATTTTATTTATTTGTTATTTAAGTAAGATTTTTTTTTAAATAGTTTTAATATTACTTACTGACAGTAGCCCTGCTCTGAACAACAGAATAGGGTAGAAAATGTGTGCTGAATCTGTGTAACATAATCCCGTTTGTTTTCTTTTATTGTAATCTATGTGAATTAGTCATAAGGATGGAATGGATAAAAGGATGGTTATGATGATGTCAGTGCGACAAATTGATTAAATTGTTTGTTAATTTAAAAGGGTAAATATGATGTTAACGGGGTTTTTCACAACCTGGCAACCCAGTCTTAAGAATTTTTGTTATAAATTATGTTAAAAAAAATTAAAGACAAAATTCCAGGTTTTACTTCACTACCGTTTATTTTTTTTCCTCATCAAAACATGCATAATTAATGCAGAACAGAGAGGTTGGAAATGCATTACCATGACAAAGCTGAATCATTTATTTGGTGCATTTTGTTAAAAGTGATTTTCATTGTTATAGTAATGTTTTACACATGTATGTGAGGTTCTGTAGAATGATGTTTGGAAAAGTTGATTCATTAGGTCCACATGTCATCCAGCATGCGTTTATAGATCAGACTCGGTCCCGGGGAGTGTGATGCGATCCGTTCACCAGATGGGCTGCTTCTCTGTGGAAACGTCTCAAGTCAAATACAGTTTGTTGGCCGTCTGTGAGTTTGTGATGACATCATTGCATCTGCGCTCAGATTTCTGCTCTGTTTCTCTGTTTGGCAGAAAAGACGTCGGACTAAGACGGTTCTTCCCCAAAAGTTTGTTGGAATCGGTTAAGGTGAGAGGATGCTTTCTATTGCAAGCACGTTGGTTATAAAATGTGTGCATTTTCAAGTATTTAGCCAGTATGTCTCTGGCTTATGTTGAATACTTGGGATTAAAGTTGCATGAAATCAAATTAATGCAAAGATGCATATTAGTATATACTGTTATATACTTGTAAGCAGTGTTGGGGAAAGTTACTTCTAAAAGTAATGCATTACAATATTGTGTTACTCCATAAAAAAGTAACTAATTACATTACATAGTTACGTTTTATGGAAAGTAATGCATTACGTTATTTTTGCGTTACTTTTTAAATCTAGACAGGGCTTGCTTGTTTGTTTTTAAAATAAAAAAGTTATATTTTTGGCAAATATAAAAGCCTTTTCACACCAGAAGTGAAATGAATAAGCCTCAGGCTGAAGGGAAAGTAAATGTACGTCCGTACAGTAGAATGCAGAAGAAGAAATTTCAACACACTTCAACAATAAAAAAGACACAAATGTTTGTCTAGAGTAATTTTTGCTTATTAGTATGCTTGAACTGGATCGTCGAAGGTCAGAAGCAAATACATTGCTTAATAGAATGGGAATAAATACATAAAGGATATTTGTGCACACAGCTAAAATAACGAAGGAGTGGCTTAACAACTCTGTGACTGTTCTTGAATGGCCCAGCCAGAGCCCTGACTTAAACCCAATTGAGCATCTCTGGAGAGACCTAAAAATGGCTGTCCACCAACGTTTACCATCCAACCTGACAGAACTGGAGAGGATCTGCAAGGAGGAATGGCAGAGGATCCCCAAATCCAGGTGTGAAAAACTTGTTGCATCTTTCCCAAAAAGACTCATGGCTGTATTAGATCAAAAGGGTGCTTCTACTAAATACTGAGCAAAGGGTCTGAATACTTAGGACCATGTGATATTTCAGTTTTTCTTTTTTAATAAATCTGCAAAAATGTCAACGATTCTGTGTTTTTCTGTCAATATGGGGTGTTGTGTGTACATTAATGAGGAAAAAAAATTTACTTAAATGATTTTAGCAAATGGCTGCAATATAAGAAAGAGTGAAAAATTTAAGGGGGTCTGAATACTTTCCGTACCCACTGTATATATATACTGTATATATATAATGCATGGATGAATCACTTACTGATTACTAATTTTGTAATCTTTAATCAACATGTCATAACTTGCTCTTTGTGTGATAAGCTGTGACGTATGAGACCAATCACATTCCAGTATTTTACAATCCGTTTAACAATCAACAGATGAAATCATGTCTCAACTCAATGTGTTGGTCATAATCATAATATGTGGTTGTAAACTTGGTCGTATCTTCCGTTTAATGGCGGCTTTAAGTGTTATTTTAGTATCTTTGAGATACCATTATAGTTTATATTTTTATTTTTAATATTTTATATTTTTTACTTACATTTTAAGTACAAGTATAAAAAATATATATTTTTAGCTTTTTTATTTTATTTTTAAATGTTCTGTTTCCTTTTTAATTGTAAAGTTTTTGTAATTTTGTTGTATGCTTTTGTGATTTTTATTAGTTTTTAAATCATTTATAAGCATTTATTCCTATTTTTTAGTTTATTTTTCATTTGTTTCTATTTTCATTTTAATGTTAGTTGTTTTTTTGTAATTTTGTTATGTTTTTGTCATTATAATTAGTTTGTATTGTTGATAAGAATTCATTTTCTGTTTTCTTTTCTCTTTTTTGTAATTCCGTTATTTGCTTTTGTCATTTTTTTGTTAGTTTCTTTAAGTATTTAATAAGTGGTTTTTTTTACGTTTGTATATACATTTTTCCTTTTTAATTTCACGTTTTTTTGTAGCTTTGTTATTTGCTTTTGTAATTTTTATTCATTTTTAAAATGATTTATAAATATTTATTCATATTTATTATTTTTTTTTACATTTTTATATTTTCATTTAATGTTAATTAAATTATTTGTAATTTTCTTATGTGCTTTTGTTATTTTTGTTATTTCTTTTTTTATATATTTATATTCTGTTTATTTTATTACTTTAATTCATTTGTATTTTTCTGTATAGTTTTTATTTATTTTATTTTAATATAATTTAATTTATAATTAATATAATTTAAATATATATATATATATATATATATATATATATAAGATGTTTAAATATATAAAAATATGTAATTGTACAGGAACAACATATTCAACAGCAATTGCATTTCTTGTCAAATAATTCAAGACAAATTGAGGATTTCTGTCAAAGTAACTGATGGAATTTGACTCAGTTTAAAATTAAAAGATACCTTTATGGTTTATTATTCTGAAATTAGATGTAAAATATAATTTAAATATATATATATATATATATATATATATATATAAGATGTTTAAATATATAAAAATATGTAATTGTAGTTATTTTAGTAAGTCAACTTAAACTAAAAAATGAGAAATGTTATCTTGGTTTAACTAGCTGCAAAATATATTTAAAATATATTTTTTTCATTTAATTTTTTTGAATGGTTTTAGTTTTAGTTAAATGGTGACTCTGTTAATGATGTTTGTGAGATGAGGGGAATGGTCATGTGTGTGTGAGTGTGTGTGCAGCTGCTGTAAGAATAGTGTTCCAATCCCACACACCCTGCAGACAGATGCTCAGTAAAATAGTGGGTTGTCCTTTGACCCTGCGGGTCAGCCTCAGACATGTGCGCACGTGGGCGGGACAGAGGTGTTAAATGCCCCATCCTCCACTGCCTCACACTCTGTTCCCATCAGCTGGGAGCTCGTGTGTGTGCGGTTATGTTGCTCGAGAGCTGTTCATTTAGGCCGATTATAACATTTAATCTGTGTGCGTCCCAGAAAATGTCATTTTCGAGAGCTTCCAGCATCCGTGTGTGAGCAGAGCTCATTTGATCGAGTTAGAAACGGGGTTCAGTTAACAGCACAGCCATCTGTCACTGACCGCAGAAATCAAATCCAGCCCTGATTGAGTCGAGCTCACATCTCATCATTTTAATAACAATACTGTTTGTTTTCAAAGCACAGGGGGCTTATTAAAGGGATAGTTCTCCCAAAAACATGTCAATCCTGCCATTAGTTACTCACCTTTATGTCATTCAAAACGTGCATGATTCTTAATGCGCATGATGGTGCATAAAAGGAAACATTTTGATGAGCTGCTGTTTTCCATGCAGTGAAAGTGTAAGAAGCCTCTTCTGCTCATCAAGGCTGCATTTATTTACTCAAAAATACAGTAAAAACAGTTAAATTGTGAAATATTATTACAATTTCAAATAGATGTTTTCTATGTGAATATCTGTTAAAACATAATTTATTTCTGTGATCAAAGCTGAATTTTCAGCAGCATTACTCCAGTCTTCAGTGTCACATGATCTTCAGAAATCATTCTAATATGCTGATTTGTAATTATGGCACATACATGATGGCAGAAATATTCCATTAAAATCAACGAAGAGAAACCAGAATAGATAATAGATGACAGAGATTAATATTCAGACTTATTTGGACAATATTTTAAGTGTTATGCAGTAAAGAGATAGAAGTAGTTGGGTATGCCACAGTTTATATATTTAATCATTTATTATTGTTGTTGTTCTTTAATTATTTGTTTGTTTTAATTGTTTATATTTATTATATTTATATAACACTTTTATTTATGTTTTTTGTTCATATTTATTTTAAATAATTTTTGATTGTTTTTTTTTTTTTTTTTTTTACTGTAAATACGTTTTTGTCTTAGTAACATATTTAGTATTACTAGGTTATTAACTAGATTTTTCATCAGTGTTCTGAAGGATTGTGGATTGCTGACTCATTATTGTTCCATATAATAAGAGAACATTTTACCCAATTGTTATCAGCAGCTCCCTGTTCTGAAAAGCAAAGATCTGAAGTGGTATGTCATAGCAAAAGGGAAGAAGAGGCACATTTCTGAGTCTCTAGATGAAGTAACGACTCCCGTCTGAAGTGACCGCTCGCATGTTTGATATGATCTGTGTGTATCTGTGTGTGGAATGCTGTTAGGATACCCAGAATGCCTTTCAGAGCTCGTCACATCCATCAGCAGTGTGCAGGTTTGTGTATTTGGAGGAGAGCGAGAGAAAGCTGATGGAGATTGATCGCTCTAGCGCGTCTTATTTGATTGACAGCTGAATTTGATGCTTGTAATGAACCTGTCCGCACTAATTACCGGGCAGATTCTGGATTATTAAGTCATGTGATCATACTTCGTCATAAAGTTTTGTATTATACTAATTTTTGCACTTGCACAAACTGCTAAAGCTCGAACTCTGATGCATAACTGATTTATCAGAACATGTTATAATCTAGTTTATTCATAATTTATGAATCTCTAATAACTATAAGGCATGACGATATTATTAATATATTATAAATGTTAACATCATTGATTTTCTGTGATCTTTTCATTGAGTTTTAATGATAGTTTTTTTCTATATTTTTCAATACGTCTATATAGTTTATATTAATTTTTTGTTATTTTAGTACAAGTGAGAAATATTTCTTTGGCAACTGGCTGACATAAAATAAGTTTAAGTTTCTATAGATTTTATTTTGTTTCAGTTAATGTATTTTATTTCAAGTAATGAAAATATTTTTAATGGTTTTAGTTTTATTTAACTATAATAACCCTCATATGTCATTTTTTTTAAATATGTCTACATTTTTTTATTCATTTCTATTTCCATTTTTGTTATTTTAGTACATTGCTAAACTAAATAAAAGTCAGAAATCCTTCCTTAGCAACCGGTTGACAAAATAAATTTAAGTTTTTGCATATTTTATTTTATCTCAGTTAATATTTGTTTTATTTCAAGTAATGCAAATTTTTTAAAGGTTTTAATTTTAATTTGCTATAATAACCCAGATGTGTATTGTGAAAAGTGCAGTACAAAAAAAGACTTCAATTGAATTAAAATACTGGTTTTTAAATACATTTCTATGCTGATCTTTATAGCACCCAGTTGCACAATATGATGAATGTTTTTATCTAGTATTGCTGATATGGGATTTAAGTGGAGCTCTGCTGGTGTTTGTAATCAGTGTGTGAAGTGTAGCGCTGCTCTTTCTCTCTGTGTTTCAGGCCAAAACGCTGAGGAAACAGATCCAACAGACGTTTAAGCAGTTCGCCAACCTGAACGACGAGCAGAGCATACTGAAATTCTTTGAGATCCTGGCGCCCGTCCACAGATTCGACAAAGAGTGCTTTCGATGTGCTCTGGGGGTACGTCAGGTCACTGGACTTTACTGCCCCCTGCTGCTCAATGGAGGAATTACATTAGCTGACATTCAGGGTTCAGAAGTATTCCCAAAGCAAAATATTTCTTACCAATCATTAAACTGTATTTTACATTATACTACATACTGTATTTTATGGAAGCCCGTTTCCGCCACTGAATAAAAAAGAAAAAAGGTAATTGCGACTTTTTATCTCACAATTCTGACTTTTTTTCTCATAATTGCGTGATATAAACTCACAATTCTGACTTTTTCTCTCACAATTCTGACTTTTTTTCTCACAATTCTGACTTTTTTTCTCATAATTGCGAGTTTATTTCTCGCAATTCTGACTTTATAACACTCAATTCTGTGAAAAAAAGTCAGAATTGTGAGATATAAACTCGCAATTCTGTGAAAAAATTCTGTGAAAAAAAGTCATAATTGTGAGATACAAATTCGCAATTCTGTGAAAAAAAGTCATAATTGTGAGAAAAAAAGTCAGAATTGTGAATTCATATCACGCAATTCTGTGGAAAAAAAAGTCAGAATTGTGAATTCATATCACGCAATTCTGTGGAAAAAAAAGTCAGAATTGTGAATTCATATCACGCAATTCTGTGGAAAAAAAAGTCAGAATTGTGAATTCATATCACGCAATTCTGTGGAAAAAAAAGTCAGAATTGTGAATTCATATCACGCAATTCTGTGGAAAAAAAAGTCAGAATTGTGAATTCATATCACGCAATTCTGTGGAAAAAAAAGTCAGAATTGTGAATTCATATCACGCAATTCTGTGGAAAAAAAAGTCAGAATTGTGAATTCATATCACGCAATTCTGTGGAAAAAAAAGTCAGAATTGTGAATTCATATCACGCAATTCTGTGGAAAAAAAAGTCAGGATCGTGAATTCATATCACGCAATTCTGTGGAAAAAAAAAGTCAGAATCGTGAATTCATATCACGCAATTCTGTGGAAAAAAAAGGCAGAATCGTGAATTCATATCACGCAATTCTGTGGAAAAAAAAAGTCAGAATTGTGAGATGAACAAGTCGCAATAACCTAAAACTGTTACAACTGAAAAACTAAACGTTTTTGGTAATTGAAATATAGCTGAAATAAAACAAAATATAAATATTGGATTTAACTATTTTTATAGTTATAATTGTTGTCTTGGTAACAAACTGAAAAAATACAATAAAAATAAAGCTAAACAGAAACATAAAAATAAAAAAAATACTAGCATTTAGCTCAAATTAAAATGAAAACTGAAAAATCTAAAAATAAGAAAATAAAAATATAAAACATTAAAAAAATAACTTTAAATGATGTCTTGCTAACTTGAAAAGAAAATGTTTAATTTAAGTACTAAAATTACTAAAACTAAAACCGAAATGAAAATAAATTAAACCTACACAGAAACATATAAAAATTATAAATCAAATAAAAAAAATGCTAGCATTTAACTCAAATTAAAATGAAAACTGAAAAATCTAAAAAATAAGAAAATAAAAATATAAAACATTTTTTTTTTAATTTTAAATGATGTCTTGCTAACTTGGAAAAAAAGTTTAAGTACTAAAATTACTAAAACTAAAATAGAAATGAAAATAAGTTAAAGCTAAACATAAGTATTTATAAAAAGAAAAAAGAAAAAAAATAAGAAAAGAAAAAATGCTTATATACTGTATATATATATATATATGAAATAACTAACTGAAATACAATTGAAGTATTAAAATTACTAAAACTAAGACTGCAATAAAAAATAAAGCTAAATAGAAATAGTGTTCATTTTTATATTAAATACTGTATTATTATTTAACTAAAATGACAAAAAAAACAACAGAAAAAATAGTAGAACTAGAAAGCTAGTTCTAAATATTGATGAATATTAAAATAGCATATCAATAATACTAAAACAGATTTAAACTGTTAACTTGTGAGATCGTAAGTGTTTTTGAACGATTCATTAAAGATCCAGCTCATAAGAGTCATTTGTTTGGGAATCAGACTAGACTATAATGGCGTGTTGTGTGTTTGTTATTATTTCTATCTCATCACATTCAATCTAGACAGCATTGGAAGCACTGCTGTGGGCGTGTCTGATGGTATTTGTGGGCGTGTCTTCAGCAATGTGTGTGTATGTGTGTGTGTGTGTGTGTGTGTGTGTGTTTGTGTTGTATCCTGACGTCATGATGAGGCTGCTGTTGCTGATAATGGTTCATTGTGAGTCTGGTTTCTTTCTCATAGCCTCTCACGATCAGCACGCCGTCCTTCGCCGCCGCTGAGAACATGGCCGACCTCATCGACGGATACTGTCGCCTGCTCAACGCCGTCAGCCAGTCCTTCATCGTCAGACCGCAGAAAGGTACGTCTGCCTCACACTGCTGCATTGTGGGATGTTTGTACTCTAGAGGCAGTAAAGCACGGAATTAGCATGAATGAGACGCATCGAGTGGAAAATCCCAGTATGAAGCAGCACAGCTGTTTGTCTCAGCAAGACACAAATAGAAAGACATATTGAAAACAAGACCACTCGTAGTAAAGTATGAAATGCAGTTCTTGGTGTTCTCCAGTTAGATTCATGAGCTGATGCTGTGTGTTTCTCTGTCCTGCAGAGGGGGAAAGAGCTCTTCCATCCATTCCTAAGTAAGTCATAAATTCACTTCACTGGCATTCATGAGCTGTTTAATAAACTGACGTTAGGCACGAGATTCATTTAGAGGAGGTTTGACCACCAGTTAATACTTAAACACCACCAAAACTGGTCAAAACTAAAGGCTGGGACTAGAGCTGGATGATATATCAAACATTCACTGTATATTTGTGATCATGTTGTTGATGATGGCTTTATTTTATTTTATTTATTTTTTTATTTTTTTGCCCTTGAAGTTCCCCTAAAATGTTAGCATCATTAGACTAATTTAACAACAATAGTCTGAAGGAAAAAATATATATTAATATATGAAACATTTATAAATATTAATCTAAATATATATAATAGTTTGTGGCGAGCAAAAAGTATATTATTATTATAATATATTAATAAATAATAATATAGATAAAAATAATGTTGAATTTTTTTTATTAAAAAAAACACTTAACTATTTTTTCTTTTTTAAAATAATGTTTAATTAGAAATTCTGATGTTTCACGTGAGCTATTGGATAAATATGTCTTGTGTGCATGAAAACAACTGTAAAGCACAATTCCTCCACAGACTGGCCAACAATGAGAAGCGGCTGGAGGGGATCCGGGCAGGAATTCGTGCCATCTCTGTTTCAGGTCAGACTCCTCTGACATCGTCTCTGATTTAGCAGCTTTATTGATTATCTATCAGATCTGTAAAGCAGTTCATATCAAAATATGATGATGCTTAATTCCCAAAGACATTTGTGTTCAGTGTAAGTCTGGGGGATTTCACCAGTTTTGTTGTCTTATCAGATGAAAATGATCACTTCATTTACAGCATAAACAGGCTGCATAAATACTATTGCATTTGAAGTTTAATACTTAGTGTTAGAGCTTTCTTCAATTCACTAACCCTGAGTATGACCAATCGTAATAGTGATGCTTTACAGGCCAAAGACTGCTAGTATTATCAGAGCTTGACACTTCACACTCCAGTCATATTCCTTATGGATAAAAAAAAAGAATCTGAATGTTTGTTTTACTCTGAAATATTACAATCAAATGCATTGCAAATGCAGTTTCACATCATGTTTTTTTAGCAGTTCTCTGTTATTTGATGTCTTCAAGATGTTGGGCTGGTTTCTGCAACATCTGCACACATTTAAAGCTCATCATCAGTTGTATTTCAGACGTTTCATGCTCATGAACGTGTCTGCTGTTTATAAGCTGTTTACGCAAAATCTAATGTAAATGTAAATGTAAATGCATAAATTTGCATAAATAAAATTTATTTAATGTAAATGTAAATCTAAAACCACTTTCTGAAGACACAGTGCAAATTTAAATGAAGTCATTCTCATTCTTCTCAATGCAAACATGCTTTATTTTTGATGTTATTGCACTAATTTCTGGGTGTGTTTGTACTGTTACATGATTTGCATAAATCATTTAGTGAATCAAGTGCTAAAATAATGCAAAAGGCACATGCCGTCAGTGGTTGCGTTTTATTTTTGGTGTGAAATGAGCTGATAGTGAAAGTCTGAGTGTCTCAGATCGCGTGTGGTTTGTCAGGCTGAAATGTTTTGTCACGGATCTGGATGATAAATACAGTATGTTTATTGCGTCTCCACTCCTCCTGCCATATTCTCTTGCTTTGCTTCACTCTCTTTCTCTCTCCATCTGTCATTCTTCACTGAAGACTCTGTGGTTCAGACGCCCACCAAAGCTGCTAAAGCTCGGCGCTTTCTCCTTCCGTTTGTCCTCTGTTCCCATGATTTCATATTGTGTGTGTGTGTGTATATATATATATATATATATATATGCATCAACAAAAATTATTTTAGGATTTTCTTTGCTTATTTTGCTTTTTAAAATGTTTAATTTTTGATTCATGACAATTAAATGCATTGATTCCATTAGTGGTAATAAATTGACTGTGTATATATCAGTGCTGTTAAACGATTAATCGCGATTAATTGCATCCAAAATAAAAATAGTTTTGTTAAATTAAAGTGCAGGAAATTTGATAAAAGTATCCTTCATTTTCTTTGTGCAAAATATGTTTTGCATTTGTGTTTTTCTATTGATTTAGCGACGAAATGCTGTTGACAGTTTTTGTGAGACTTACCCAGTTTTTATTTTTGCTAATTGCATTAAACATAAAAACCTGCCTCCAAATAAGACCAGAGATTTTTCCATGCGAACCGCACTGAATTAGACCCGTGGCAGAACAATCCATGCAGATGTGTGTCCACGTCCCAATTGAATCTCATCCCACACATTCCTGCAGCACGTCTAACCCAATATAACCCACACTAATGACTCCCAGGACTGCAGGAGCTGCTCACAGCCAGAGAGGACGAATAAACCGGTGAACCGCTTCAGATGCATGACCACCGTGTGTTTTCATGTCTGCTGGTGAATTAACCTTTCTCCTCTCTGTTCTTTGCATGGACCTGCAGAAGATCTAAGCGGAGATGGTAATGTTTGATTTGCAATCTTCATTTCTTTCCTCTAACTAACTCCCTGCTCTGTGTGCGTTTGGAAATTTACTGCAATCTAGTCAGCCTCGCATAGGTTCTAGTTTAGTTGTAGTGTGTAAATGTGAGTCTGCTTCACTTTAAGTGCACTTGAAGTCTCTTCTGCTCCCTGCATTCCTCACAAGTGCAATTATTTAGAGAAGCGAGTGACCTCTACCAAAAAAAAAAAAAAAACTCTAAATCTGTTTTGCATGAAGACATGGAGTCACTTCCTTCCCCTCGTCTTTCTCCAGCTCGACCACAGAGCCGCTCTCTGATTGGCCGGTCGGATGGAGTTCAGAGAGTTTAAAAGACAGAAGTGCACTTGAGTTTGAGTGTGCGAGAGTCTTCATGGAGGAGTTTCTTGGCTGGTTGACCGGCTCTAGTTTGTGTAGTGGAAGGTTACGTGTGTTTGGGGTTGGTGTAGTGACCGAGTGGGCGTTAGTGTGAAATACTGACCGCTGCTGCTTCTGTCTCCCTGCAGAAACAGACGACTACGCAGAGATCATAGATGAGGAGGACACCTACACCATGCCCTCTAGTAAGTACCCTCACTCGTGCCGCCTTTTAAGTGTGTGTAACTGCTGTCTTCCGGGATCCAGATGTTTCTGTCCAAATCCTGACCTTTTTTTTCTCCCTGTCTGGCTCGTTTGGTCTGTCGATGTGGTGGCAAATGAAATTTAAAGTATCCAGCTCTGACATTCCAGAATATTCTCTCTGGAAACTCCGTTTGTGTTGCACTTTAAAACGTTTGATTCAGCACATTTGGAATTAAAGCAGGTCATATTTTGGCGTAATTCTGAAAATGAAGCATGTATGTGTTTGGATTGAACTCAGTCTGGCATATTTGCTTCAGGGACGTCCTTAACAGTTAAAAGGATTCATAAAGTATTAATCATCTGTAAAATTGCTAGGTTCCTTTTAGGGTTTGGGTCTGAATTGGCTTTATATAAACACACTGGAGGTCCGTGATGTGTCCTGATTTAGTGAGTGTGTGTGAGTCAGCGACTGCACACTAACATTCACGAGTGTGTGACTTTACAAACAATCACAGGATTCTGAACACACCGACTCAATCTGTGTGTTATACGAGTGTCTTCAAGACAGTTGAATGAAAAGTTGCCATCATTTACTCACCGTCATATCGTTCCAAAACCATGGTTTTTTTTTACAGTGCAACACAAAAGCAAATGTTTAGCAGAATGTTCATGCTGCTCTTTTCCAGTCAATGAAAGCGGATGCTTTCTGGTGGCTGGCCAGCTAACAGAGAACATTCTGGCAAGTTTCTCTCAAAGTTCTGAAAAGTCTTCTAGTAATTTAGACAGAATGTTTTGTTTACAGTTATCTGGTCTTTAATAACATTCTCAAAACGTTAGCACAAAAAAGTGTTTATACATTGTTCATGGAACTTTTTACTGAAACGTTTTAGCTGGACATCCGTCTGACATTTTTTAAATGTTACTGTTTTCAGAATGTTCAGAGAACTTTCAAAAGTAACATTCCGATAACGTTTGCAAAATTATAAAATTGAATGTTCACTTAAAGGGATAGTTCACCCAAAAATGAAAATTTGATGTTTATCTGCTTACCCCCAGGGCATCCAAGATGTAGGTGATTTTGTTTCTTCTGTAGAACACATATGATGATTTTTTACTTTAACCGTTGCAGTCTGTCAGTAAGTACCATTTTGATTAGCCGTCGTACCTACAATGACTGTGCACTGTGTAACCAATGAGTGACGTATACGCGCGAGAGATCACTTCCGGCGCTTGCGTAAACTACGCCAGAGCGCGTACACACCTCACGCACCGGATGCCGTGCGCGCGCCCAAAGACAGTTGGACAGTTGTGTCGTCACGAGCTGCAGGGTTTAATTTGGATTTGTCTGTGCATGTTTTTTTTACTCTCATAGATTTTGTTACCATTGCCATGCATTATACGACTGATAGACTGCAACGGTTAAAGTAAAAAATCATCATATGTGTTCTACTGAAGAAACAAAGTCACCTACATCTTAGATGCCCTGGGGGTAAGCAGATAAACATCACATTTTCATTTTTGGGTGAACGATCCCTTTAACCAGGAAAAAAAAATTTTTAAAACTGACATTTTGAACCTTCTGAAAAGATTCAGAAATAACTTAATGGGAACATTAGCAAAATGTTCTTAGAACATATTTTTGTCAGCTGAGTGTCGAGCTCCTAAAGAACAAAAAAAGTCATTTGTATGACTCACACCCTGTATTAAATGTCTTCTAAAGGCAAAAATGTTAACATTTTTTGTGATCACAACACTAACGTTTGGCTTCAGAGGACTATAAACATTGTACATGAGTCATGAGAACTATTTTTATTGCTTTTGCTCCCTCACTGCTATTCTTAAATAGATACATTTAATTGAGATGCAAAACAACATGAAATAAGTTATGTAATATTACGTTATATATGCCAGTGGGGTAAGAAAAATAAGTTTGTTTTCCCTTTGAATTACATTTATTTTTCTTACACCATTCATCAGTCGCTTGTTTGTAAATGAGCAGCATGAACATTTTATGTGTTTTATGCTTTGAAATGACAGGTGAGTAAATGCTCACAGGAGTTTTGTCATTTTATTAATGGCAGATTCACTGAAATAGTTTTTATAATTTATTGCTCATTTTCCAGGGAATTTTTATGTTGCCCTCTACTTAAATTTTATAATATGCTATGTTTTATAACAGCTCTGTGGTGAGTGTTTGACATGTCTGTGATTGATAAGTGTGTGCAGCTCTCCACATCTCATCCCTCTGTTTCTCTCTCTCTCATCCTGAGCTTTAATTCTGATCTAAAAGCCCAATCTCTGCCTTTTCTCTTTAACAACCAGCCGAATGCTATGGATTAGACGCAGGTAACGCCATCCCTCTGTTTGTGTGCTTCTTTCAGTTTTTCTCTCTTTTTTCTGTTTCTCTCTCTCTCTCTCTCTCTCTCTCTTTCTCCGTTTTGCTGTGTGCTTGTGTTAGAAGCAGGTTCCTCCTCATATCACAGACTAACGCAGGTTTTCATAAAAATATTTTTGTGCGTTTCATGGGAATCAAACCCATGATTTACCATTGTTAGTGCTACGATCTAAACTATAGAAGCTGGGATATAAAAAAGGTATTTTAACATCCAAAACATGCCACACAGCATCTTTAAGGCTTTATATTATCATTAAGCATCTTTATATTATTGTTTTTTATAATATAATTTATACTTATGTCATTATTAATACTATCCCATTTATATGTTTTTGACATTAAATGCTTTGTATAACTAAAAAACCTGCAGAAGTCATTGATATGTAGCCAAACAATAGATTATTATTGTTTTTTGTTTGTTTGTTTTGTTTTTTGCTCAATTATATTTTTAAATATTTTTTTGTTTGTTTATGAGTCTGGCATATATGTGCAGTTTGTTCAATGTGTCGTCTCAATGTTTTAGGTTTCCTTTATATTCATAGTCAATTTTTTGTCATCTAGAGACAGTCTTTCTGTCTCTCACAGCCTCGTCTTCATTCGTTCACAATTAATTATGGCGTCCACCCTGACTAAGGTCTTTTGTTCATGACCTCAGTGTTTCTAAACTTGCAATTGGCGACTTTCAAACACTTTGTTAAATGGCTGAGCTCTGCATTCAGTAAATATTGTGCTAAAGGTTTGTTGATCTCGGTCACAGCTGCTCGTCTTCTGAACTTACATGACGATCAGAGTGTGTGGTTTGCTGGTTCCTCTGATGCTGAGCTTCAGGTTTGTGACGTTTGTTCTTCATCTGTAGCTCAGGACTATGAGATCCAGCGGGACAGAATCGAGTTGGGACGGTGTATCGGCGAGGGCCAGTTTGGTGACGTCCACCAAGGGGTTTACATCAGTCCGGTAAACACACAGTCCACATAAATATTAATCAAACAAACACTGCATTTGCCCTGAATAGAGTGCAAACTGGTGGCCCTTTTAATTCTCTTCCTAAATCAGTTCATGTCAGAATCCCTTGTTTTTAGAGTGAGAACTACTAAAAATGATACAAAACTATTATTTAGCATAAACTGAACATAACATGAGCAGCAGAGTAGATTTGACTGCATTCATTAAGCTCAACCTTAAAACCCTATTATTAACAATGATCGAGCATATTTTTTTTGTTAAGAAGTATGTTTTAAATATATAATTTTATAAAACAGAAAAGTTGATATAATATGTGATTTTTGGTTAGTACAATCTAACATTTGGTCCCAAACTAGCTCTCTATTGATCAAGCAAATATTTTTGTTAAATTTATGGAATACATTTTATATGGAATATACATTTTTATATCATTTATATAATATCTAGGTTTATTAGTAAATACAATCCAACATTTGACCCAAACCATCTTTCAACTGAGTGAGGTCTTAATTTAGGCTAGCAATTTTTTTTTATTATTATTATTGTTATTATTCAAATAAGTACATTTTAAATTTTAAATAATGTTAACAATTAAATGTTTTTTTTATCAGATTTGTATGTATATTTTCATGTGTATTTTATTCTATTAACGTCACAGATAAGCAGGTTTTAAACAGTATTTATGATATACAAAATATTATAATATAATACATTTTCTATTAATAATTATATATTTTTTCAAGATGTTCCAAATGAATTTTTTAAGCTATTCCCTACTGCTCTTTACTGTGTTCGGAAGCTGTTAAGACGAACTAAAATGTCAGACTTTGTGGGCGTACGGTTTTACTACAGTGTACTTTTAATTTGTAATCTTCCTGAATTCATGCTCGTAGTTTTTGAGTTGCATGTGCTTTCCCTGACAGGAGAATCCATCGTTATCAGTGGCCATTAAGACGTGTAAGAACTGCACCTCAGACAGCATGCGTGAGAAGTTTCTGCAGGAAGCTCGTGAGTATCAAGAATTCACACTAGTGACCTTCACTTCAGAATTAATTTCAGCTAATTTTGCAAAAGTATTTTGCATGTGATGCAGTGAGAATATCTGTGATTTTATGATTGACAGTGACAATGCGGCAGTTCGACCATCCGCACATTGTGAAGTTGATTGGAATCATCACTGAAAATCCCGTCTGGATCATCATGGAGCTGTGCACGCTTGGAGAGGTCAGACTGTGTTTTCATTCGTTAAACTGGCACAGATTTTAGACTCTATGAAATCATCTGGAATCATCTTCATTTTAGTTGAGGTCGTTCTTGCAAATAAGGAAGTACAACCTGGACCTGTCCACGCTGATTCTGTTCGCCTACCAGCTGAGCACAGCGCTGGCGTACCTGGAGAGCAAACGCTTTGTGCACAGGTGCCTGAAGATCTTCACACGCTCAGAACAGACTTTCCTCAGTCTCCTGCTCATAGTGCGCTGAGGTCAATGTGTGTTTTGTTGCAGGGACATTGCTGCCAGGAACGTGTTGGTGTCTTCCACAGACTGTGTGAAGCTTGGTGACTTCGGTCTCTCCAGATACATGGAGGACAGCTCCTATTATAAAGGTGTGTCAAACTGCACTTTTACTTGCCGTTTACAATGCTCAAACAGCAACATTACGGACTAACTAAAGTTGAAAAAGTGAAAAAGCATAATAGGACCCCTTTAAACACAATACAACGTGATTTACTTGTGTATGTCCACAGGAAGTCATGTAAGATTTCATTAAAACACTTCCTGTAGTTGCTGTGCATTTTAGAGGCTGAAAAAGCTTCTGGAAAAAGTTCTGATAAATGCAAACAGGCCTCCCTCAGAAATGTTACCAGAGTAAGGATATAGCGGCCTCTGGTGGATAGTGAAGGCATGTTTGAGTGTTTATAGTGTGTGAACAGTAGTGGGTGTTTTCCAGCTTCTAAAGGGAAACTGCCGATCAAATGGATGGCTCCTGAATCCATAAACTTCCGTCGGTTTACCTCGGCCAGCGACGTCTGGATGTTCGGTGAGTGCTTAACGTTTTTTAGAAATTGGAAGATGAATATTTCATGGTACTGCATTCTAACAGTTAGATTTTTCCTGAACACCATCAGCATGCTCCCTTAAAGGATTAGTTCACTTCCAGAACAAAAATTGACAGATAATGTACTCACCCTCTTGTCATCCAAGATGTTCATGTCTTTCTTTCTTCAGTCGTAAAGAAATTATGTTTTTTTGAGGCAAACATTTCAGGATTTCTCTCCATATAATGGACTTCTATGGTGTCCCTGAGTTTGAACTTCCAAAATGCAGTTTAAATGCAGCTTCAAAGGACTCTAAACGATCCCAGCCGAGGAATAAGGGTCTTATCTAGCGAAACGATCTCTTTCTTCAGTCGTAAAGAAATTATGTTTTTTTGAGGCAAACATTTCAGGATTTCTCTCCATATAATGGACTTCTATGGTGTCCCTGAGTTTGAACTTCCAAAATGCAGTTTAAATGCGGCTTCAAAGGGCTCTAAACGATCCCAGCCGAGGAAGAACGGTCTTATCTAGAGAAACCATCGGTCATTTTCTAAAAAAATAAAAATGTATATACTTGTTAACTTCTGTGCAGTCCCGTTCGAAACAGTTAGGGTATGTCGAAAAACTCCCATCTCATTTTCTCTTCCAACTTCAAAATCGTCCTACATCGCTGCAGAAGTACCGACCCAGTGTTTACAAAGTGAACATGCAAAGAAGTTCAAACGCCCTTTACAAAAAAAGGTAAAACACAGATGTAGGATGATTTTGAAGTTGGAGGAGAAAATGAGATGGGAGTTTTTAGACCTACCCTAACTGTCATGAACCGGAAAAAAAGTTCACTATGGAAAGCCACACAACCCAAAAGTGGGACGATACAGTGCGGTATTAAAGTGTTGGACTCAATGGACCGAGCTGCGCGACCGACTCGACAGCGCAGAGAGGACGTGTTTACTAGCGCCACCGAACTGACAGCGCGGCGCTGATCAGTTACAACAGCGCAGCGCGAACATTATTCTTCTTCTTCTTCTTCATGTTTTATGGCGGGTGGCATCCAACGTTAAGGTGCATTACCGCCACCTACTATACTGGAG